TACATACATGACAAAGGAGTCTTTCTCAACATGAACAACAACTTGAACATTGAATTGCCAACAACTTCTCTAATTGTTCTACCGGAATCATCAATTTAACTATAATACTTCTATCAGGATCATCATTATAGGTTTGATACTACTTGATCTTTATATTTTTTTATCACATGTCTAATATACCTATTTATGGTATATTAAAACTCTTACAATATAATCATATTCCATATAGGATTCTTACATTAATTACCCAACAAATTTTTCTTCATAATAATTAGAAATTGTGGGTCAAATTTCATCGACACGAATAAACCAATTCCTTGGAGTTCTGAATTGACTTTTCATGTTAGGGGAACATAGAAGTTTTCCTCATCAAGACAAACCGCGAACGTAGTCAAGCACTGACATGGACATCAAATACAATTTTTTTTTACGAGTTGTTCAACTTGCAAGATTACTCCCTCAAATTTAGCGGCCAATTATCGTGGTTTGAACTAGATTAAAACATGATTTTAAAAGAAAAGAGTAATTAATCCTTAGAAGGTGTGAAAAAGAATTAAAATTGAGATCTTTAAATTATCAAATATCAAACTCAACCACTAAGCAAGGGATTAAAATTTTTTTGAGTGCAACTGTTTTATCATATCATAGTGCCACGTGATATTATCGTTTACTAATAAATAAATAAGTTATCAAGTGAGCCTCACAAAAACTCATAACCACATAGTCATGTAATAAATAATTATTTCATTATAAAAAATAGATTCCATTTTATTCATTTTATAATTTTTTTTATTAAATAATTACACTACATCAACATTGTTGACACGGAATATCGGTGACACCCATACCTAAGGGTTGACATCAAATACAATTGACGTTTGTGGTTTGGTGTTCTAAGTTCAATGTAGATTTAGAACTCTTTTGTATACTTTTTGGCTCTTTTCCAACGTCAAACGCGGCAGATTTGCGTTATTAATTTGTCAAAGTAGACTTCTTTGTTGTCACCCAAAACTGGCTAAATATTGTATGACAATTAAATCTTATTATTCGTGAAGAATGAATAATTTTGGCATAATCTCAGACAAGCCCTTTGAAAATTAGAATATGGAAGTGGAAATTTTTTTGAAATCACATTTCAACCCTCATCTTCTTGTTTGACTCCTTGGTTTTGAAGTCCTAGACTTGACTACAGTACCGCACCTCTAAAATTTACTATTTTAATAGGTATTTTTATAATTTTTGTGAATTATTTTATAACCAAAAAATTTATTATTTTTGTTGGTATTTTTATCCCTGTTATAACCTATTTTTATAACTTTTTTTTTAGTAAAAAAAAAAATCACTTTTGTGAGTGTTTTTACTACAGTTGTAGTAACTATTTTTATCACTTTTTTCAATACTAAAATAGTGATAAAAACACATACAAGAATAATAAAAAGATCTAGAAATATGATAAATAAAGGTATGATACCAAAATTTTTTGTTCCAGTACCATAGACAACTCCTAAAGTTGTAGGATGACTCTATATATATTAATTTCATATATAGGTATAATAATAAAATATGTATTTATATTTTAAAAAAATTACTTTTTTTTACTTACTAAACACAGAAGTATCAATCCTTCTTACTTTTCACTTTTTTTACCAAATACAAAGGAAGAAAGAAAGGGTTCATTTTTTCATCCACCATCATCACAATCAAATAGACCATAAGTTTTATCATACATAAAAAAAATTATTTCTAATTCTCTTATGTTCAATTTTTTTTTTTGAATATCTTGTAGGCTTGATAGTGTCAACGAGTGCCAAACATGAGTGTATTGATAGGGAAAGAGAGTGTTTGGGGGTTATTTATTTGCTGAATCCAACCAATTATACTTTTTTCATTATAATTAAGAAAGAGAAGTGCAAAATACTTTTATATAAACTAAGAAATTACATGTAAGGACTAGCTAATGACATAGGAATAACAACACATGGATTGGTTACCTCTCCAAAATGGCTCTCTCTCTCTCTCTCTCTCCTCAATTTTGTGGGACAAGTTGTCCACGTCACATCCAAGAAACATCTACCTTAATTAATGGCATATAATTGATAGGCAATGTGAACATCTGATTTTGTACACATCTGTCATTGTTGCGGATTTAGACCAAAGTCTATACTCAAGTCAATAATAATCCTTCTTTAATGTATGAGTGAATGGAATAGGATTGATTTTGGGTAAAGTTGACTTGAATTAGAAAAGTCTTTTGGATTGTCGAAGAGATTAACCATATGAAGGGGGTGTGAACCTCTCAACCTATTGACTGGATTTCAAATTTCTATTCTGTGGGCGCAGCTTCTTAAATGATGGTAGAAGTTCTAAGAGTATTGTAAGGTTCGAATTCAAGTTTTACATCTAGTGAAGTTTAGATTTTTCTACCGTAGAAACTTAGTTTTGATTAAACTTCGAAGACGAGACCTTAATAATCAGATTAGATGCGTAACTTGAACGAGTTAATCTTAGCTCAACACGAGTTTAACCTAGAATATTCAGTGTTCGGCCAAAGGTTTTTGGATAGCACTTAGATAAAAAAAAAAACAAAAATCTCAATCACATTCAAATTCAGAGAATACTTGAACTGAAGCCTTTTGGTACTTCATCGTAACCAACCCGAAGTAGTTAATTCAGGTTCAACATATATTTAATCTAAATTACGTAGTCCGAGAATTTGATCCGACCATATTTAGGGTTTCTTTCCACAACTTTATAAATATTCATAGATTATAAATATATAATTTGAAATTTATCGACAGTGAGGTTAGCGGTTGGCCTAAATGTCATCGCTCTTAACCCGCTGCTCTCGACCCTCCGTCAAATTTTAAGGTGACGAGTCTATACCTCCTATAATAGTATTTGATAAAAAAAATAAAAATTATTCACTATAATAGTTTTATATATTAAAAAAAAGGGGAAAGAATTAACTCTAAACAAAAGAGTTGACTAGGGTACCTAAAAAAAAGAAATTCAATATCATTCCTCTATTTAGTATTTACCATACTTGTGATTACTTTTGTCACATTTGTTCGTGTTTTTACCATTGTTGTGCTATCTAAAAAAATGATAAAAATAATTATAATAACAGTGATAAAAAAAATCTACAAATATTATAAAAATACTCATAAATGTAATAAATCATCCATAAAAGTAATAATTTTTTTTATACCGAAGAAAAATGATAAAAATATTTATTACGAATATGATAAAAATACCTATAATAGTAATAAAAATATCCACAAAAATTAATAAATTACCTACAAATATGATATATTTTTTAATTATAAAATAATTTATAAAAATACTTAAAAAAAATAATAAATATTAGAGCTACGACACTAAAAATTTTTCTTCCATATGATTCATTAAATGTACCATTCGTTAATATTTATTTTCAATATGGATATGTGTGTACTAAATTTGGGCCCCACAGGCTGCATGGCTTAACTCCGAAGTTTCACAAACAATGACGTTGTGCTGACCTCACAGAGTTCTTAAACGCTACGTTACCCATTTTTACTTTTCGGTGCCACATTAAATAAAAAATCATAAAATAACGCAAAGAGATATTTGGATATCATGAATTTAAATTTTGATAGTTTTTTAAAAATCAGGTCATGAATAATTTATTTTTCATTAATACTCTAATCCCGATATAGATGAATTCTCTTTGATCGGACAAAAAAAAAAATTAGTTGAGATACATGTAAATTATATCAACCACTCTCGACCATTGAATCAAAAACAACAAAAAAAAAAAAAACTCGAATTCGAGTCTCACCCTCTATGTCTCAATACACGACCTAATATATGGTTCAATTTTTTAGTCGTATAGAAATAGAAACGTTCCAACAAAATGACTTGTTATTATCAGAGTCCTAAAGTCTTCTACGAGTGAACCAGGAAAAGGCTATACAAGTTTTCTGGTCTAAGGCATGGGCTTCTGTATGCAAACCACACCTGCTTTAATTGACAGATGAGTCCCCATTGAATGCGAAGTTACAAATTTTTTTCCTTTTTGCCTTTTCATTTTTTAAAAATCAAGTTTGCCTCGCTTATTTTCCAAAAAATAAAAATAAAGATAATGCACCTTTTACACTGCAACGGTCGCTGGATAATAGAAGTGACTACTATCATCATGTTTCATGGTATGACCATAATCGAGAATGGCCTCTCGCTCCCCTCCCCCATGACATCTCTCGTTATCCAAACGCAAAACCATTACACACAAAAATAAAAAAAGACACTAAATTATAGTTTGACCCTTTATTGAACTATTTTCCTTGTCTTATATTTGCCCTCTCGGCTCTTATTAATAACATTGCACATCTAAAATTGATTATTAATTTTAAATACAAAAAGTATAAACACTAAAAATTTAACTTTTATACACATTTGTCCTTTTTTTCTTTTCAAAAAAATAAATAAACGTTTTGTTTTATAATAATATGAAATCAGTTCAAGTAGTTGATAAAATCAAATCGTATATATAGCTTTGAGGGTTAAAGTGAAACTTGAGAAAAAATTGGATGTTGCCTTTTTTTTTTTTTGTTTCAATATTTTATGGTATTCGGACAAGCTTACACGTACCTCAATTAATTTTCTCTTCGACTTGATTAAATGCAGACCATCACATTGAGAGTAAGAAATTTATGCATGACTGATTCCATGCGATTGTTAATATTTAATCTCAAAACATCTTAATTCATAATTCATTTTTATTATTAGTTGAGTTACCTACTTTTGGCTGAGTGTGGATGGTGGTGGTTGGGTAGATGGAGGGAGGAATCATATATACATGGTTCAATCTCACTCATTTTTCCCTCGTTCTGTTGTCCATTACAAAACCTCGTATGCTTTAATATTATAATCCGCTACCACCCTCCAAACCCAACGGCTTAGTATTAAAAGCCTCGAACTGTCACTGTCTTAGTATGGGCCAACGTCTCCTTCCCAAACCCAAATCAAAGAGTGAGAACGCGAAGAAGTTTCAAGGAAACCAACACAATGAACATGAGAAAATAAGGCAAAGAAAGGCCATCTTTTCTCGGTCTTCTTTGCAAAATATAAGGTCAAGTGTGTCATCACACCTGTCCTTTTCCTTACCAGGTAACTTGTTTCATCACGACATCTCTATCTCTCTCTCTCCTGATCGGTCAATATTTTTCTGGGTTTGGTAGTTTTACTAGTACAAATTCACATCTGTTGCTTTTTTGGTTTGTTTATCTCTTCTTAGCTTGTGTTATGTGTTTTCTTCTTTCTCTTTGAGCATTTAGTCTGCTTACTTTCCCCGTTTTTGTTCAATCCATTTGGGTTCTTCTCTCTCTCTCTCTCCCTCTCTCTGCACATATATATACATATATACCATATTCGTCTATTTGTGTGGTATTTTATTGGGTAGGTGTAATCATATTGTATTGATTTTCCACATTTACTCCTTTTTAGCAACTGTGTTTCCTCTAATTTTTTCCGTCTTTTGGTTAAATTTCATTGGGTTTCCTCTACAATCAATCCATTCTATTTCATTTTTCCACCGGCTCTTCTTTTCTGACCTCTTTTAGATATTTTCTAAAGCCTTTTGGAGATGTGTTGTGTATAAAATCATACTCTTTTCCACAAAATCTCTGATTCTACACCAACTTGTTAGGCTTCAATCATGAATTGCTTTTACATATTCAAGCGAAAGTCCAAGACCCAACAGTCTAATTCGGCACCGGAACTAAGGAACCAAAGTACATCTGATAATTCTGGAGCAAACAACCGGGGAACAAAGTCAGCAGGTTCACTATCATCACCAAGGAGCATACCAGAAATGTATAGAGAGAAAGAGCACAATTTGAGAGTGTTCTCTTTCTCATACCTTAGAAATGCAACTAATAATTTCGACAGGTTGCTAAAGATTGGGGAAGGTGGTTTTGGGAGTGTGTATAAGGGCACAATCAGGTCTGAAGATGGACAGGGTGACAATACTGTGGTTGCCATTAAAAAGCTCAACAGACATGGATTACAGGTATTGGACTTTTAGTTTATCTAATTTATCTTCCATTCTTGGAAAAAGATTGCTTGAAACTTTGGTTATGTCTGATCCTAAGGGATAGCTTGGTAAAGGGTCATTGTTTATTTGGTTGTGTGGCACTTTTCATGTTGAAAATGAGGCCTCTAGTTGACATGAACTGAAATTGAACCCACAATATCAGAATATTGTTGACATACTAGATACAAAAAGGGTTTTTAGGCTTTCTCTTGTATAAGAGAGAGAAATTTTGTGATTGCTAGATCTTTGATGATCTTGTTACTGAAAAGATTGGGAATTTTTGAGTTTGGCGACTTACTTTTGATGAGAATAATTCAAAATCTAGGGCTCAGTAAAGAACATATTTTGAAATGTCAGGGAGTTCCCAACATAGTATTATTCCATGCTAGGTTTTTCTTCCTTTCCTTTGACTGGTGGGGATGGATGCTCTAGTCTTCAATCTGAATTAGGTAGTGCCGGCAGACGTGGGTGGGAAAGGAGTGGTGGATAGCTCTAGTTCGAAAACTGCCTCCCCCGCTGGCAAAATTATTAGGGAACAAATGCAACAATAAGATTAAGCAAAAGCCGTCTGTTGTGGATTACGTAGTATGAATCCACAAGTGCACAAGAAGCAGAGAATCATATATTAAGAACTGTGCTTCGTTATGAGCATAGAAAAAAATACTTATCGGGAAAAGAAAAATCCCTCGGCATGTGGAATTCAAGTTTCATTGTGGAAATACTTACATCACAAAAGCAAGAAACAATATTTTCAAGTGCTTCTGTTAAACCACTAAAGTCAATAACTGAGTATATGTTAGTGCGCAAAAGGAGCACTTATGAGGTGTTACTGGATGGTCTTTGGAATGGATCATCAATTTTTTCCTAGTATTGAAGGCACAGATATATCCTCTAGAAATTGAGTTTTTTTGGAAAAAAAACTAAATTCAAATGGCAGAATTTACATAGCATTTGGGACAAGTTATTATTGCTATTTGCCGTTCATAGCAATTAGCATGAGTCTATTGAACTGCATTTGCATAGGTGTATTTCAGTTGATTTGGCCTTTGAAATTTGAAAACGTTGATGCTACTTGCATCTTCTTGATCTCTTTCATGGCTGAATAATTTCTTGTACATTGCTTATGATTGCTTGAGTTCATGAGTCTTTTTATGCACATCCTCAGATTAGTTGGATCATGACTGAATTTAGCTACACTGCTGCTCTATTTGCCTGACATTACGCACAGTGGCCCTCCTTGTGCCTTAGTGATCTATGGATGTGAGATCCTAACCACCTGGTTAATTGTTCTAGAGCTTGAGTAGATAGGAGTGAAAGAACAATGCCACCCCTCAATCTACAGAATCCGAGTTCGTCTTTGACGAAAGGAATCCACATACTTCCCAATATCCGACTTAGAGCCCATCTTTTAGTTTCTTGGTTCATTTATTGTTTTTCTTTTAATTCGTTGCTGATGATTATTGTTGGTTCACTTTGGTTCTTCAAATTGCTAAATGTTTTGCTTTGTTTCTTTTTTCATGCAGGGTCATAAACAATGGGTTGCAGAAGTTCAATTTCTTGGCGTTGTTGATCACCCTAACCTTGTAAAACTTTTAGGATACTGCGCTGTAGATGGACCAAGGGGAATCCAACGGCTGTTGGTGTACGAGTACATGCACAATAAGAGCTTAGAAGATCATCTTTTCGGCAGCAATATGCCGACCCTTCCTTGGACAACAAGATTAAATATTATCCTTGGAGCAGCTCAAGGAATGGCTTACTTGCACGAGGGATTGGAAGTCCAGGTATGGTTCGCTGTATTTGACAACTTGACATTCAGTTGATGTCTTACTATAGCTGAGCCTTTGTTCTCACTAGCTAGTCCCTGTATTCCATCCTAATGATACAGTTTGTAGAATGTGGTGTAATGAATAACAGGCACGGAAGCATGGACCATAGAAGCAAATTCTAGTCAAATCATAATTATTGGAAGTTTAATTTGTGCATTTGAACACTTCTCCCAAGCACTCTGAAAGTATCTTCATTCTTTTTGGTCATTCTAGCTGGAACATTAATGATTAGAACTGATTCTCATTGTAGTTGACTCATGTGGGAGGTACAAGTTTGTCTTTATGTAATGACATATCTCAGTATATGTGCATACCCATTGTCTGCAATGTAGTTTACCTGCCATACAATTGTTTCTGGGCACATACCCTTGTGTGCACTAGTATGTGTGCTTGTAAATTATCCCCTATCTACTATGAAAAAAAACACTGATCAAAGAAGAATATAAACATTTATCAAGATTAGTGCACAGTAAGAATAAAAAAGCACCCAGTCAGTACATATCAATAGTCTTCTATGTCTCCTTATGACTTTCTGCCTTTGCTTTTAAATATTGCAACTTTTTTCAGAACATAATACTTGTGTACATATTGTTGAATTTTTTTTTCCTCTGTCAAATTGGGAAGGTGATATATCGGGACTTTAAATCTTCAAACGTGCTTTTGGACAAGGACTTCAATCCGAAACTTTCGGACTTTGGGCTTGCAAGGGAAGGGCCAGCAGGAGACAGAACTCATGTATCTACAGCGGTACGTAGATATGGTGTGATACAATATAATGGCATTTTTGGATATTTTTAATTGGCTCACTCTATATCCTCCGCAACACATTTTTTGTAGAAACTAAGCACATACCTACATGGAGGCTTGATCCTCTCATTTGTGTTGGTTCAAATTATTGTGATACACTGGGATGTGTTTGAATAAGAGTGCCAGACATTAGCAAGGAACTGTTTCTAATCCTCTGGTTGCTTGGTCATATGTATCCAAGGGAACCAAATAAAAAGCCCTTTAATTCTTTATTTTCTTTTATTCTTTGTTTTGTGTTTTTTTTATTCTTTCATGAATACCTGTGTAGTTTCTATTATAGTATAACGATGGGATATGTTTTTTTGATTATTTTCAATGTTGGCAGCCTGTTGGAACATATGGGTATGCTGCCCCAGAATATGTTGAAACTGGTCATCTCACACTCAAGAGTGATATATGGACTTTTGGGGTTGTGCTTTATGAGATTCTCACAGGCAGGCGAACGGTAGAAAGAAACCTCCCCTCTGTGGAGCAGAAACTCCTAGATTGGGTGAAACAGTTCCCAGCTGATGGTAGGAGATTTAGCATGATAATTGACCCACGACTCCGGAACCAATACTCTCTAAGTGCTGCTCGGAAAATTGCAAAGTTGGCAGATAGATGCCTGAACAAGAATGCTAAAGCTCGGCCAACAATGAGTCAGGTGGTGGAGAGCTTGAAGCAAGCAGTACAAGATTCAGAGGAAGGAACTTCTTCGTAAAAGTCGAGCCCAGAGTCATCCATAACTGGTGTGGTTGCCTGAAATTAAGCATTTCGACCAATGGGAGTTACTACACTACAAGAAGAATGGAACCTTAGCTCTGGCAAGAGATGATTTTGAATGAGGAATCAGTAAAAGAGTTTGATGATTTCACTGGCTGACAGTTTCCTTCTGTTATTTATTCCACAGTCCCAAGAGCTTGAATGCTGAAAAATCTTCTGTTATCTTTCAACTATTGGGTTTGTAACTCTAATCTTGCAAATGGTGGATTGAAGTGTTTTTTGTCTTGTAAAGTGAATTACTCTTTGAAGCATTTCTTGTCTTGCAATGTGAATTTTGGCCTTGATCTCACTCTGACCCTTAACCTATTGAATTTCTCATATTGTCACTTCATCTATAATTATTGATTTTACGTTGCCCGATGAGCAAGCATTCATTGTCTTTTTCTTTTTGATGGAGCATGTCCATGTGTCAGGGTAAATTGAAATAAAATCACATAGTAGAGGGTCAAAGTAAAATAAGTTTTTGTTGAATTTGTGATGGGTGTTAATTATTGGGCAATGTGGAACTAGTTACAAAAGTTGAAGGTGCAATGTGAAAAATATGATAGTTGAGATAACAATGTGAGATAAAGGGGCATAGTTGAAGGGTAAAAGTGTAATTTAATCTATTATTTTTTAATTTTTTGTTGTTATTGTGATTTTGTAAGCAACTGTACTAAGTGGGTTTTCTATTCATGATTGCTCGTGGATAGTAGTTGTAGACTTGTAGTTGAAAGAGAAGGTAATCCTAAAGTTTGAATATTCAATTCAATTTATTTGATATATTTAATTAAATAGATTAAATTAATATTAACTAATTTAACTGTCATCCACCTATACTAGTGGTGCAACTTAAATTGGGCAACTTGGTTTCGACCTGAAAAAATTAAGATTTAGGCAAGAGTTTTTAATATTTGAGTTGAGTTTGAATCAAAAATCCTCAACCTAAATTCAATTTGAACGAGTCTCGGGTTGAACCCGAATATTAAAATCGGGCTCAACCCAAATTAATAATCGAGTTCAACTCGAATTACTATTATATAAATATAATTTTTGAATGTTATATTTGTGTTCTGTAAAACGGGTTGTTGGTTGTTAAATTATGTAATATATTTGTATTATATTTGAAATTGTTGGTTGTTAAATTATTTGAATATTATGTAATATATGTATCTGATTTAGAACATTAATCCGAAATCAACCCAAAATTATTAATTCGAATTCAACTCGAGCCCGCCCGAATTAAACTCGGGCCGTACTTGGGTTGAATTTATCAACCTGAGGTAGGGTTAGAGTTAAGATTAGAATTAAAAATTATATATCTAAAATTGAATTAGAATTGATTGTCTAACCCGCCCAACCGCCTTGAGTTGCACCCTAACCTATACCGATTTAATTCTCATCCTTACTTGGACAACATCTGTGAGACATAAATGGTGGAAGTGTAATTTCAAAAATAAAAATGGTGTACCCTGAGTTTTTTAAAAACTCTAAAGGGTGTCAGTAAATTTTGTCCTTCGAATTTTAGTATTGTATTGATGTCGGCAGAACCCCAAGCCCGCCACTGTGAGTGTAAACTGTGTTCAACTCTCTCTCTCTCTCTCTGTGCGCACACAGAGCTGTAGTGGTGTACAAAGAGACTTAAATACACCTATATAATGGAGAAAACTTTCACTCTCATACAGACCATCGCCACAGCTGGCGTCTTCTCTGTCGTTTCTTTCTGGTAATATCTTTTTCTCCCCCGCTCACTTTACATGCGCACAGTCAATTTCTTCTTCAAGAATTAGGGTTTTACTTTCTACTTTGCTATGATCAATGATCTCTGAGAACTCTTCAATTTTTCGATTTGAATTTGTTTATCGCTACCCCTATTTGCAGGTATGGCTTCATGTTTGGCCGAGAATCTGCTCGAAAGGAGCTTGGTGATTTGATAGAAAGTCTTCGCCGCGGCAATTCGGAACCCTCTCCTCATTCTTAAGTTGGTAACTTCCTTGCTTCTCTCTCTCTCTCTCTACACACACACACACACACACAGAGATATATACATTCCCCCATACACATACATACGTACAGACACACACGTAGAGACAGGTGAAACAATATGGAAATAATGATTCGATATAACTATGAGAACGGCCACAAAGAACAGCAAAATGCTCTCTATTCAACAAGTATATATGTAGAAAAGAAAAACTAATGAGTTGCTACAAAAAACGCAACCAACTTATTTTATTTCTTATGGAAATAAAAAACATACTATCCCAATATTCTATGGGTCACTCTAAGGACCTCAAAATAATGAGCTTATCAACTTTCTAAATACTCTTCCTTCAGTTGTACAACTAGTGATACATTTGTGGTTTTCTGGTCTTGAAAAACATATATGGTATATGATGTATGACTTTTTTTTCCCCTTTTTCTTACTCTTTCATTTCTCATTGCGGTAGAATGAAGAAATTACTCAGAACTATACATGTATATGCAAATATTTTTTTACACAAGAGCAGCCTCCTTCACATTATTCGTTTTGATAAATCCTATGTGAAGGTCTGTTGTTCTTGAGCCACTCTCTGGAAGTCTTGATCGACCACCCTCTGACATGCTTTTAACAAATTCCACCATGTGCCTCCAATTCTCCGGCTCAAACAACTGCTTATTAAGTCGTAGATATGTAAATGCACTCAATCCATTTCCAGAATCTGACCTACGTGTTGCCAAAACTTGTGCATATTCTCCTGCATCATACCTCTCCAGTGCATTCTCTCCTGCAAGTTCTGTTCCAGCGGTTTTAGTTGCTGTCTTTACTTGCCGAACTAACCCTTCCGGTGAGCAATTTGCATTCTCTGGTTGTTCTCTGTCTCTCATTTCCATGCAAGTGAAGTTGAAAACAACCCCATGTTTACCCAACATTCGTGCCATTGGTAGGTAACCATCTTGATGTCTAGTATTATAGTATCCCGCGGTTAATTCGGCTGCATGAGATCTTGTTCTGTAGTGCCAATGAATTCCAGCTACTTTTCCTGATAGTTTAGCTCCAGTTTCTTGGAATATTCCTTCTGCAGCTGCTAAGATTCTGTCACCATGCTCTAGTAGCTTCCCAGAATACCGATCTAGGAAGAACTGACCATACTCGCTGTTCCATGTTCCGCCCCTCTGGAAGAATCCTGTTTCTTCAGGGAACTGGTTGTACTGGCCAGAATCATGCGGGCCACTTTGTACCCAGTCTTTCTTTCCATGTTCCTCTGCTGATGCTGCTAGGGAGGCTCCCATATACTGTTTCAATATAAGAACTTCGTTTTAGAAAAATACACTCGGGACTCACTTTGTTCATTTTCCATTCCTATAAAAAAAACTTTGTTCATTTTCCGTTATCAACAATAATGTGCTGCACATGGATCAATTTTTTATTTATTTATAGAGGATACTTTAATCATTTCTATAATTCGTGAGAGGGGTGCATCATTCTGGGGTGTGTAATGATCCTGTTCCAACTACGGTTCGGGGGTGAGGTGAGGGCCGCAGGTTCACACATGGTTCATCGACCACGCCATAGTTAGAGTTGAGCCAACACATACAAAAATGAATTGACCTAAATTACTGACTTAATTCACTATAGCCATTAGATTGACGGGAGACCCCAACAAATATTAAATTTTGGTGTTAATCCAACAGTTACAATGAAGTTACGTCATCAAGCCAACATGTTAGATCAGATTTTTAGGTTCCAATAACATTACTCAAATGAAATTGAGTTGTAAAAAAGTTACCTTGTCGTAACATTAAAATTCTCCAATTCCAGGAAACCTCCAAGTTCTATTGCTTTCTGGATAGGACGGATATCTCAACTCTCCACAAGGGCCCAACTCCACTTGAATCTCCTGCATTTGGAATATAATTAGAGTTTAAAGTTGAAGAAAATTGTTTATTTATGAGAATGACAAAAAAGAAATAAAAATCATCAAAGTAGCAAGAACTTTGGATATTGGGGATTCTATTTGTTTTTACCCAGCATTTTTGAGAAAATATCATATTGTGAACTGTTTTTGTTCTAATTCAGTATAATTCTACCAAGAGAGTCTATATAAAATAAATCTTTACCACTATACCGTCCCCAAGGAAATCCTTGAATCTTTTGCGGAAGCTCCTCATGTAATCAGAGTAGACCTGAATTGGTGTTCTTCCTCTAAGCACTGGGATTGAATCACAACCCAAGGAGATGTATGCAGGGTTTCTCTGGCCTTATCTGTCTATGTAGACAAGGTCAGGATTCTTGCTGATTTCTTCAAGCACCCATGGGGGTAGAGGAATGCTACAAAGCAAGACCAAAAGGTTTATTAGGTTCACCATGCTGCGCTTTCTGAAGTTAAAGTTATGTTGATGAGACTTCTTTTTATTTTGTGACAACCAGAAATGGTTACTTCAAATTCATAACCATGCTGCTTTGAAGATAAAAGATTTCTTGGAATTATATATATATAAACAATCTATGATTCTATATGTAGTCCTCTTTCTCTCCAAAAGCATGTACTATGAAAAAGAAAACAATCTATACCTGCAGGAGTCTCCAACATTCCCACCACACTGATGAAAAGACATGACAACTTGAAGCTTCAAGCCGTGCTTCTGCACCATCTTTACAAGCTCGGCATACCCTTCCCAGTTGTATTTCAAAGGTCCATCTTTCTCCACCAAGCCCCACCATGCATCAACCATTACTCCTTCAACTCCAGCACTTTTCATGGCCATCAAACTTGCATTCATCACTCGTGGCTTGTTCAATTTTCCCCCAAGTGATACGGTGTCGAGTGGTAGCATCACAAAGACAGGCACTCTCAAATCATTTTCCGTGTGAGTAGATGATAACCCATGAAGCTTCTCCCTTTGCTCATTTCTCCTCCCTTCCAAAATTGAGGTTCTCTCATGGGAGAGTTGAGCTTCTTGCGTTGAATTCTTTGCTTGGAGACGGCACGATGGCTTGAATTGTGCAAAGCAAACCATGCCAGAGAAGTCATCGGGAGTTTTTAAACTTCTTGTATCTTTCAGATTAATGAAAGAAATTGAAGAATGGAGTGTCAAAGCCATTGTTTTTTCTTTTTAGAGGGGAGAGAGATGTAGGAAATAATGAAGGCTTTGCTTGCTTATTTATAAAGAGAACCTCAGGTTTTGGATGCGAAGGAGACAATTATAGTGGGCTCTAGTAGGAAAGGAAAAAATGCAAAATCTCAAAACTTGACAGCTCACTTTGTCAAAGTGATTTCTTTTTAACGCGGTTTCTCTTTTTTCTGAAACTTACCCATTCGTGGTATCCAGAGAGAATGGGTTTTACTGCCACTTGGGGGATATATGTTAGGAAATTTACACGAAATTTTCATACATGTGAGAAACAAAATAGAGAAAATACATGCCAAAGAAAATAATCACATACAAAAGACAGTATTTACGTGATTCAGTAATTTATTTACGTCCACGAAATTATAAGGATTTCACTATTATCAAGAGGAAATATAGAACGGCCGTATAGAGTCAATCAACCCTAATTACCCAAAAATAACAGATTTTATATGTCTGGCACCGGGCTACAAAATAGGCCCAAAAAAATAAATTTTAAGCCTCAAAATTTTTTTTATTAAAAACCACGTAACATTATTTTAGGTCGGGTCATTATCCAGATCACATACAAAATTAGACTCCACAAAAAAACCCAAAAATATAATCTGTCCATGTGGGGGTAGTTATTAAATTTGTTATCCTAAAGTGCGTAATTCAAAAAATTTAGTCTTTGAACCCCGAAAACTGGTTTAAGGGAAGGTAAACCGTGAGACCTCTGCGCTCATGCGTTTTTCTATTAACCCTGCAGAGTTAGCTCGAATTGGAAAATCTCAGTGGTATAATATTTTGAGATCGTAAGTTGGAATTGCATTTCACTTGATGCCTATGGCTTAGATTACCTGTATGCATTCAGAGGGTATTTCACCACCACAAGTCGGGAAATGTGAATGAGAGGGTTCTTTTTTGCATCAAGTTGAAAAAGAATATACTATTAAAGATGTAGCATCTCTAGAGAATATCTGAAGGTGATGAAGCCCCTAATGATATTTTGAACTAGTTGCCACTGTCTGGTTTTGCAGCTTCCTTGGTCAAAAGTAAATGGTGGGCCTAACTTTTTTGTTCCCTCTCTCTCTCTCTCTCTCTCTCTCTCACACACACACACACACACCCACACGCACACTCAGGCAATTGCTTTGGATAAGTTGCTTCAGACCAACATATTGTATGAAGTATTACTTCATCAATAAAATGATTATTGACCACTGATGCCCTCCCCAATTGTTTGCTTGGGATTTGTAACTTAACTTTGATGTCGTGTATACAACTTAGTTGTGTGTGTGTGTGTGTGTTTTTTTGGTTTTGTTAGGCGTTTGTGTTAATAAATCTCTCTCCGAAAGAATCTTTTTCCTTTTTGCTACCATAAGGTAAATTTGATGATCCTCCATCGTCTATTGTTCCAACACTTAATCACCATACAAACCCGTCTTTGTTCTCTTGTGCAACTATTAAATGGTCCCCAACAAAATTTCCAAAAGTTTCTTGGCCACATTTCTTAGCTTGTGGTTCTCCATAAATTGATACGTAAACGCTTTAAACCCCTCTCAAACTTCTCATCCCTTCTTTGATGATGTGGTCTTCCCTCTTTGTAACACGCAAGCAATCAAGCAAACCCATGAGAATTTCATTTTCATGCATAGCTGTACTGTAATAAGTTTTTAGAGCCAAGATGCCATCGTTTTTTTCATACATTGGGAGGACTTTTATTCTAAATTTCTGGGTCATTCCTGAAAACTTCCCTTGCAGAAGGTATCCTAGTCCTCTGGGACTGGGAGGGTATCATGCCTTAGTTCATTTTAAATCTACTTTCTGTGTTGTAGGGCTAAGAGAGAATCATTCCAACATCTACTTGTCTTGTCTCTGTTTGTCAGCAACTGTTACTGGGAGGAGGAATGTGTATTTAAATTAAATATCTTCCTATCTTTCTTCTAGATATTTTTGGGAAGTAAAAATATCCTCTCCGACGTAGGTTCCGCATGAGCTTGGTCGAATGGACTGATGACAAGTCACAGACATGCAAATGGTTGATTTCGACCCTTTTTTAAATATCTATGGAAGCACTGATATTTTGATATGTCAAGGATCATGTATCATGAATCCTTTGTATGCATCCTTCTTAATATCTACTTTCCTAACCTTTTTAAGTTCCGTAAGGCTGTTGGCTAACTCAAAAAAGGGTGATCCGTTTGTGTTGTAAACCTTTCATGTGTTGCCTTTCTTGTGTTGCTTGCAAAATTCACGATATACGAAGACATTGAAAGACCTCCTTCGAGGAGGGAATAGGAGATGGAAGATTGGAAAAAAAAAACGAGTGCAGAGCATCAAACTCTGGCCACTGCGTCGTTGATGTACAAAACTTTACTTTGACGTGCAAATATGCTATTTTTGTTAGTTAAAACCGTGATGCCTAAGCCAAAATGAACCCTTGCTGCTGTGTTAAGACCGGCAATCAGATGAGTATGCAAAAGACGGCAAAAATACCATGTCAGCAAAGATACTGGACGTTTGCTGCCAATATTCTTAGATGCTTTGAGAAGTGTTATTTTGCCCAAATTAAAACCCAAATCTTGTATACCAAATACATGTGCACCAGACATGAATAGAGACTTTTTCAGGACTCGCAAAATAGATCATATCATGTGTCAGAAAAAGTTTCTACGCATTTTAAACAGCAACGATTTGGAATTTTCACACAGCTTAATAAATCCCAGGTTATTAGAGGTTATACAGCATAGGATATATTTTTCTTCTACATAAATCCTAGTTACAAGGAACTTAGCATTCGTTTTCTTGAGATTCAGCATTCTGCAACTGGAAACACAGAGCCGATTTTGTTTCCGAAACGATAGCACTTGATATTAACAGGGTATGGACCCAACTCAACATGGTTGTCCTCTGCACCCACATAGAAACAGAGGGTATACAGAGCAATTTCAAACTCTGGGCTAACTCCAAGCAAAGTGCTTGAGACAGATTTGAGAACGCCATTCCATTCAAACTGGATTGTGAGCAACTGGGTCTCTGACTCAGGCTGCAAATTGAGACATGCATAACAAACTTACAACTTGAATATAAGATGCCATTGCAATATAGCAAAAAACAAGCTTTATAAAAGGCAAAACAATAAAAACATCAGGCCCCACCCCCACCCCCACCCAAACACACACAAAAGTTTTGCTATCCTATATGAAACTGGTGCAGGTCTGCTGTGTACGTTACTCACGAGGTTTGTGGTTTCAGAAGGAGAAGAATGAACTTGGGCTGGATTTATCGTATCCAAAAAACCCACATCAAATTGAATATTACGATGGAACATAACATACGGGTATTCTTCCAGACCATCTGGTTGATAGCGTGAAAATTTCTCTTAATGGATAACTAAAGGATGCCATAGAGACTGTTAAACTCGTCGGCCCACCATAAAGTAGCACTTTGCAAAGCACCTACTGTGCTTGTTTGAACAACACTTTTAATATGGTACACCATATAATAAACTTCTATCTCCTGGTTCTTCCTCTTCATATTTCTCCTAGTGATCTACTATAACCCTTGGTGATATGATATATTGTGATTTGTAACTGGTCAACGGATGAACCAAAGGGGCACGGCACTAAACAGAAGGCAGCCATTCCCTTTAGTAATCAGTTTTGTCAGAAGAAAAGAAATGGGAGTTCTCTGGGCTTCAGAGGATTTCAAGACACTCTTCAGTTTTAGTATTTCCCACCATGAGAGGGTCCTCAAACTTCATATGCAATCACTTAGAAAAAGAAAATAATATTTTTATGAGAAAATTAATAGTGCCCTATTTTGTATAATCTAAGGAAAGGAAAAGAAAAGAAAAGAAAATTTACAATTGCACTTCATTTTTTCACAGAATGTTTGCTGTAAAATTCTAAATTCACTCTTTTTCCCTCTACAGTCTTTAATGTGATCAATACCTCCACAATATTAGAAAACAAAATTAAGAATCTGTGAGAGGAAATCACTTACATTGTCTCCACGTCTTCGAGGGAAAATATAGCCTTGATAGTCAAGCCTCCCCTTTGCTTCTTCTAAGTAGAACTGCAGAAGGAGAATATTTATGATAGATTTCATAAAGAATTCAAAATGAGAAAGAATATTTATTTTTTTTTTGACAAATTCACAATTACCATACACAAATTCAGCGAAAGTAAATATCCGCGCACCATGATCACAATCCTTGTTAACAGAAAGACATTTACACATGACATTAAAGATAAGTGTCCTCAGAATCAATGTCAGAAAGAATACTAGACAATTAAACCAACTGATTCAAGGTTAGTTTCTGTCCTTTAACTTAAAAAGAACAATTGTTTTCCTCAATTTTCTGCTCATATAAGCGCGTGTGTACATTGAAGGTAATAATCAACAGAAAGCATATCACATGAACTTATTTAGTCTTTCCAGCCATATATAAGATTGTAGATTAGGTCAGTCAGTAGCAGAGCTAAACTGTGACTGAGAAGGGGGAAAAATTTCAGCCATAATGTCATTTGGGAAAAAAAAAAAAAAAAGAAGATATATATTATGTCGGCTGGTGTCAGACACCCCAAATCTGACATCAACATCCTTCGTCCTTCCAAGTTCTTTGCTGAACTGACTCAGTATTGTTCTGACTACTGCTCAAACTGAATCTGCAAAACAAAGAAAAGGAAAAATTTTCCTTTCTCTTTTTATTCTCTAACCCCATTTTTTCTTGATTGAGAGGTACAGTAGCAGAACACTTCTTTTAATGGGTAAGAGTAGAAACAGGGGCACACCCCTAGTACATGCAAAGCATGTAATATCTTAACTGAAGTCGTAAAAAATCTACAATTGCAGTCAAGGAAATTCTAAAATTGCAAATTGATTATTTGCATTTTTGCATGACCAGTTACTGTTAGCATGAAGTTACATGATATGTACCTGAAGCCAGTTGTGGAAGCCTGAAATTTCTTGCTCCTCACGCTGCTTAATTTCTCCAACAAAAACATGCTCAAAAGCAGAAGAAGAACCAGATGTACCACCTCGCCCATAAAGATCAAACCAGAGACTTGTCAGCATTCTTTTGAATTCTTGGTAATTCTCCGAAATAATGCCCTTGGATGATAGATACTTGTGAAGATATTTGATTGGTGCACTTCTACTGATCTCTTCTATGAATGCTGCTTGCTCTTGCCTCTCTTGAGATGTGACTTCTTCTTTATACCCCTCATGTGGATTGTAATTATCTAGAAGAGAACAGAAACGAGAAATAGTAGGTTTCCTGAATATGCCTTCATTCACCCAGGAAAATAGGCTTCCTTCCGCCATATCTGCCTTCTGGTAAACTTTTTTCCCTCCACCACAGTCAATCTGATAGTCCTTGCCAGGTATTAGACGGTTTAGATCAAGCTCCCAAAGCTTGTTGCAAGCTTTTGACATGTCGGCGAGTTCTTCTTCTAAAGGTTCTATGTTACCGCCATGCTCAACCTCAGGAGAATATTCCTGCTCACTAGGGGGGTGTTTATAATTTTGCCAATGATCCATATGCACCTGTCAAGGTGTTGTTCAAAGTGTTGCATGGATATAAACAGTGGCAATAATTACTTCTAATACTCATTACTAACTCAAACACTACCAAAAACATCAAGATTAGTGGCTTTAAGAGATTCATAGTCAGAAGCTCATATAACACAACACACCAGCGGTTAGGAGGCAAGCAAATACTGGGGAAATATAATCGAGTACTAAACGCACCAAATTCATATGAGCCAAGACAACATTTTATCCAGATAAATGAGAAACAGCAGAAGTCAATGGCACACTGCCCTCTATAAACCAAAATTTTAAAAATTTGAGAAGATGCAAGGATTACCTCATATAACAACTTTATTAGACCTGCTTCCAGGTCTAGAATTCTTTCCAATAATGAAAACCGAGAAGAAATGGCCAATGGTCTATAATACTCAAGACTGCCGAAAAAAAGATTGAGAAAACTATGCAAGATTCAGCACTCTTACACCAACTAAAAATGAAAACCAATAAAAACTCTCGAACCACAGGTTGCTAAGGGCTTTTTATTTGATGCACACTTAGAGCATCTCTAACCCTTACCTTTTTCTGGGCTCAAATTTAAATTTGGGTAAAAACCCCTTAAAAATCTTATCTAATGCTATATCCAACCCCATACCAAATCAAAAGAGACTCAAATTTTTACCAAAATCAAGAGACTCAAATCTTTACCTTTTTTACCAATGGTTAGATTTCATTTTCTTTTAAAGATATAATGGTCATATTCTATCCTCCTTCAAATTTGGACTTGTCTATAAATTTGGGTTTTTCTATTGAAAAGATCTATACCAAATCAAGTTTTTTTTTTCTTTTTTTTTTCACTCAAATTTGAGTAAAGATTTGGGTTTCTATTGGAGATGGTTTTACATTCCCTCAGCCATGTTTAGATCTTGCTTGTTTAGAAAGCCGTAATAACCATATTACATACGCCAAAGATGCTCTATCACCAAATTGTTCCAGCTCACACAGAAAATTTATATGATACAGCCTATGACAATACTTACACTTCCTCGCTGATGCATACTGCAAGTATGATGCGAGGAAACCTCCCCCAGTTATCTGGTTACTGTGGCCAGGCACACTTCCAAGGCCAATGGGTACTTGGTGCTCATCAAAATATTAGAACTTCTATTTTTTTTTTTACCAGAAGCTACCTCTAGCCATTTACTATGACTTCATCTGAGAGGAGAAATGGTGGTGACATCTACATCGATAGTAATTGAGTACCAATTTGTACGTATGTTTGGTGTAAGAACAAACCTGTTGGTGTCGCTTTGGAGGCTTTTTAGTGACAGTCTCCCAACCATCATTACTCTCCTCTTTCCCCTGTACATACTCCACCAAAATGAGTTTGAACATTCCTGAGCAACTTTAACTATATTAAAATAAATCGGAAGTCCTGAAACAAATTCAACCTTTTGGTTTCGATGACTTTCGTTATAATCATCTTGCCTGCTATCTTCATAACTTTGATACCCATGATGCTCAGCCTGCATTTGAGACATTGCTGAGAACTCACACCATTGACAGAATAAAGAGGGGATCCAACCAACACAAAAAGAACTGAATTAAATGCAAAATGATGTTCAAAACATTTAATCCACCGTCCAAACATCCAAGTAAATATTCATGTTGTGTGAAAAAATGCCAATTTTTATAATGCACATCCTTGTTATTTCCCATGATAGTATCCGTGCCACAAATGAACGCCAAAATATTGTCCTTACTTATAGCAACTTCATAAGTCCTGCCTCTGATTTCATTTTTCTTTGGTGATAATTTATGCAAGTGCATTACTGGCCACCTTGACCATTACTCATAGCGTAAGCCCTGCAAAGGATGATAATCGACCCTGCCCCCTAAAAAAAAAAACAAAAAACAAAAAGCAAAAAACAAGTCTCTTCCCAGGAATAGGTGGTGAGGTGATCAGGCAGGATGTTTTTGTGCGGTTTGTTTAGTGAAGTAAGAGATCTGCCATCTCACCACTCCCTTTTTTTTTTTTTTTTTTTTTTTTGGGGGGGGGGGGGGGGGGAAGTAGGTTACCTAAACACACATCAACAACTGTTCTTTTGTGAAAACTACTTGTGAATCCCTAAATTCTGACAGATTGGATTTCAAATTTGACACACTGATTCATAACTTAACTCCATCTATCCCCAATCCATTGATACAATATCGATGTTAGATAAACACAACTATAAAAACCCACAGAAATAAAGTAGCAAAAACAACAAAATAACCTTCTGGGGTCGATTCGAAGGCTGCCATCCACCAGATCCCCCCTCCTCATTCCTCCCATCTCTCTCTTCCTGCACAATCAAACGCCCATTTTCATTAAAATTGTGCCCTTATATTAAATGAACTCACTACATCCAAATCACTGACCTCTCTGTTCCACTGACTTCGATCATACCCATGGCGTCTACGGTCACTGCTCGAGGACTCATCATTATCCTGCTCCCCAGACACCACCTGCGCAATTTATCATCAACTCGTTATATAACCATAACCAAATGTCAAATCCTAAAGACTTCCATTGCAAATCAGTTGCTTCTGCTAACCTGGGCCCAAGTGGATCTGGACCGTTCGTCACGAGACTCTGTGTTTGTTTCGTTTTCTCCGCCTTCTTCGCGACCAAAAGCTGCATTGACAGCCACATTGACCAAACCTTTGATTAGGCCTTCCATGGCAGATATAATTTTTGGAGAGAGAGAGAGAGAAGTGGTGTAAGGTAGTGATCTGGATCGTCGGTTGAAAACGGATTTAGAGGGTAGGTAGTTGAAAAAAGCTGACATTGATGGCGGGTAATGGCATTTATGCAAATTTTGTAGTGTGGGCTTCATATATTCTTGCCGACATACCGGATGACACGTGGTAATTCTTGAGTGGTTCCAATTGTAATATTTTTATTTTACTAAAAAAAACTTTTTTTTTTTTTGAAACCATCTTCAATGAAAATTCAGTAGTAAACTTACAAATTAAATGGAAATCCAATCGTAAACTTCCAAATTGTTGCAAAGTATTGACAAACACGAGTAAAGTGAAAAAATTATATACTTGGAGGTATAAAATAAAATATTTTTTTGTTAAACATATTTAAGAAACATTAAGGATAAATTATATTTTAACCCTCTCAACTCTAATAATATATACATATGTATATGTATATAATCAGACTAAAACTGACAAATAATCAAATATACATCCAATCCAAAAAGACTATCCATTCACCAATACAAGAAACTTTGGCCCAATCACAGTTCTATGATAAGGCTTGTGCCGTCAGATTAGCACAAAGATGATACCACATTAACCAAATTTTCTTTACAAAAGCAAGGTAACTTTCACGGACCATCCAATTGCCATCAACATACCACGTCATTTTAATAACCACAACATTATCATCTTTTCTATGATGAATTATCAAGAGAAAATAACATAGTAATTTATTTTTTCAAATTAATCACGAAGTAGATATTTATTTACTTACAAATAACAAGGGAAGGAAATATAACACGAGAATTCACAAACCAGGCCAGGTATTTACTATCTATCAAAAGAGAAATGCTATTTGGACCCAACTTCTCTGATCACGCAAAGTAAAAACACTTGACACATCTCATTAGACACGACAACTCATACAGTAAACAATAGCCTATTGTAACTACAAAATTACATGAAAAATATACTATAGACATCTGATTTGTGACAAAAGAACAAACATCGTTTTCCATTTCCCCGGTTGTATTTTTGTCAGATCATAGAACTATACCTGACCTAATTGTTTGCAGTTGTGGCATAAACTCTCTGCAAAGCAAAAACCGCATTCTCAGTTGAAAGATTTTCTCTTTTACAGCGACGACCATTTCCTGTCACTAGAGATAAACACCCGGATTGAGAAAATTCCAGGGCAATAGATGTGAAAAGGGCTTGACCACAATAGCACCATGCGATTCAATGGGTTTCTGATGATTGAACATGAGTATTAGGATCATCAAGAACTCTCGTGGGCTTCCAGTCAGTTTCTTCCCTGGGTTGTCTCAAGGCAACAAAATGAAGAGCATCGCTTCGCACTTGATAAATGTGGCACGCCCAAGGATACGAATCTGGTGCAGACCAAATCTTTTGTTCTTCGAATTCTGTCTCCTCAGCAAGAGATTCTGCCACACAGTATACGGTATTGGGTTCTGGCTCTGTAAAACCAGGTACAGCAACGCATCCTAAGGAAACATAACCCTCTGGGGCACGTGGAAGCCAAATTGATACGGGAGTAGCATAGTCATCCAAGCAGTTTCTCCACACCTGTATAGATGTTAAAACTCATTATCCACTCTATAATAAGAATTACAGGAACACTAATCGAAAAGCAATTCAAAGCAGTAGAACGCCAAGAAAACAATCAGATAGCCCAAACATAATATTAAATGTCATACGACGTGCAAAAGAACTGACTCTGAAAATTTTGCACACTTTAAGGATAGCATGGTTATCTCCGGCTTCTATTTTGAAATATGGACAGATTTTTTGAATTCTTTGTCAATAAATCACTTTAAAGAATTTTCTTTAGAGTCATAAACTGAGAAGAATCGGGGGCTCAAAATATTTATTTCATTTCCAATATGCACTGCTAATTGTCAAAGGGATTTGAAAAAAAACCATATGGAGATGAAGTTTGAAAAGAATACTTTGGACATTGAGAAAATTAATCCCGATCAAAAATTTAACACAAAGGGAGGGTATCCTACATATAAGTTACCATTGACGATAATGCAAAAAAGAAAAGCTTTAGAATTAGTAGTACCTTAACTGAGGTCTCCTCTCAGGGATAATGGTGTGCATAGAAGAATGGCAAACTAGAGTTTTGGTAAATATAGGTAAAACAAAGAAGATATTTGAAGTTGAACAGACTATTATCAAGATGCGGTTCTCTAACTTGAAGCAGTACCTCGAATAATTGCAGAAAATGCCTGGCAGGCAAACAAAGGAAGCTTACAGCTCTATAATAAGACTGGTTGAAAGGTCCAGAGGGAAGAAGAAAAAAGCTCATAATAGGGTCTTAGAGAGATATTATACATAGGGATTCCTAATTTCTTATAATCTTACAATATCCATAAGTAAAAGAGGTATTGACATAATAGAAGACAGCTATGGAGAAGCTGTGACTATAGTGCTACAGTAATAAGTGCACTTATATTGCCATCATGCATCACATCAAACTGTTATCTGCTTCCATATCATGCTGCCTGAAGCATAGAGAAGCTAAAGTTGACATGAACTAACATAACAAACGACGACGGCATAATAGTGCAGGATTTTGCTGGAATTATGACCATGGAAAACATATCAGTCAAACAGAATTACGCAATTGATCCCAAATAGTTGGGAAAGAGTTTATTGAGTTCATGCAGTCTTGTTTATTCATAGGAAATGTCGCACAAAGAAGTCCCATGATAGTTAAAAAGAAACTTCATATATGCAAGATACATCATTTTATGGCAGACAGACTATTAGCAATTTATTTTAACCATGCCATTCAGTACCATGCAGCCGGAAGTTTAAAATTTTCTTCCAAAAGGATACGTAACTGTGAGATCCTCTTCCATGTTCCTTGTGAACTTCTTTGTTTTTGTTTAGGAGTAGAGATTCGATCATGTAATAAGTGCTAAATAATTCATATCACTACTTATTTTCCTCCCCCTCTTCATCCCTCCATCCCTTAAATGTAATGCTTTGGTCTTTTGGTTCTTTTCAGATAATTTTTAGGGAAAGAGAAGTGCCCTTTTTTTTCTTCTTGGGGGGGGGGGGGGGG